TTTACGGCCCATTTTGGTTGTTGATATCTAGGTAAGTAATGGATAACTACGCGTTTGGTGGTATTCTGCTGGCAGAATAGTAGGCGGTAAGGTAGGGGTGGTCGAATACTTTTTGCACCCCACTGTACCAGCCATGATAGTTCTTTGGGTATATTGACGAATTATTGTGTCTTTACATCATGCCTTGCAACCATCGCCAATGCGACGAAACAACAAGGCATACAATACAAGTACAGTGACAGTCATCAAGCCCGCCTAGATCACTCCCCCCTCCTCCGCCGCATAAACGCCTCAATGCCGGCACCAACACCTTCCTGACTAGGTTTCTCCGCACAAATATCAGGCTCAAATCCATAATTCTTGACAAGATGATCTCTCGTCGTAGGCCCGATAGTCGCAATGAAAACCCTCCTCTCCGTCCCGCTTGCGATCCCATCAACCAGCGCACCCGCATCCTTCGTAGAGGACTCCGTAGGCGTAGAAAGCAACCCCAGAACACGAAGCATCGCATCACAGCCCGTCGGCGAGAACACAACCACCCAGATCACCCTCTCCTGCCCGTCCCCGTCAGCCAGAGCCAAATACTCCTGTCCGGCGCGCACCGCAGCCCGAAAATCACCCTCAAACGACTCCATTACCCCCGTCTCATACACGACGAGCTCGTCTACCTGAATCCGCTTAGCGGGGGACAGGGACTCGGCCATGAGTGTTCTGGGGATGATATCGCGGCGTTGTTCGCCGACGAGGAAGAGGAGGGGTGGCTTTGCGGGCGGTGCGTCTGCGTCTGCGCGTACGCCATCATACAGCGCATTATAATGCTCCAGGATCGCATGTGCAAGATTCTTGCCGTCTCCGGCGTCGGAGCCGTAGATCGTTGCATGGGGCAGATGTGTGTCTCGTAACGTTGTGAGGGAGCGGGATGTTGCGGGCCCGACGGTGTACAGTATCAAGGAGCGGGACGCTTCTCTCGTTATCGACACTATCACTCAGACGTCAGAGCCGTTAGCTTGGCATGTCCTATTCCCTTCCCTTTTTCGCCATGTCCGCTGAGGGCGCGGGAGAAATAAAAACGTACCATCCACCTCGGTCGTGACCAAGCGCGCGAACCCCTCCACAGCGCGCTGGCTGGTGAATATCAACCCGCCATATTTCCGCCCGGGGCCGGCATTTAGACTGCCTGATGTGAAGAGATCCTTGACGATGCGGAGGTTCGTCTGCTTAAATTGGTGCTCGAGGACTGGGACGAAGGCGGGGTTGTAGCCGTGAGCGGAGAAGAATTCCTCGTAGCCATCGTGCGGGGTAGATTTCGTCTTGAGGAGCAAGATGGGCGTTGCCGATGAGGATGAGAAGGAATATAAAGGTGAGGTTGCCATTTTTCTCTGATGTTCGATTGCTGAGCACGTTTACTGGCGTTTAATTGATATATGTGGGGTGAGGTACGGCCCGGAGAGTTTGAGTAAGTTGATCGGCGGAGTTCATAGTAGGGATGTGTGAGGAGACAGGCTATGGCCTGGTTGTTTGATCCTGCAGCGGACGTCTTATTCCAATCCATAGATTAGAGAAGGATTCCCTTTGAAATATGCGACTTGAATACAATAATTGCCGAATGTACCACGGCTCCCTTAGAGCGTCTTCAACTGCGTCATTACCAGATGGACACCTAACACACTGGCGATAATAACACAAGGAAATTGATTGGGTCTAGTAAACTTATGTACACACTTAAAAGAAACAGGGGCAACTACTGGTCGTCAAGAACGTGCAAGTACTTCTTTTCCTCCCGTCTTTCGCGCTCTGTGGCGGGAGGCAGATCGTAGTAGGAGGAGCTTCTGTAGCCTTTCTGTAGCAGGAATCAGGACCGTGATCAAAACATAAACAACGCGAATGACTTACCAAGTAGTGGAAGGTGAGGTCGCTGAGCTCGGCGGGCTCAATGCCGAGATCTTTGAATGTCTTGGCGGTCTTGTCAATCTTCTGGTCAATAAACTCCCGCTCCACCTCATCGGCGGAGATGGTGGGCCACCAGAGGAGCTTGTTCAGGTAGTAAGCCGCAGGCTTCAGGACAGCCTTGGGAACGTTGATGTGGCGGCGGTGCTTGAGGATTTCACGGTCAACCAATTCGGCAATTTCCGCAGTAGAGTAGTTCTTCGGGCCATAGAGCTCGAAAGTCTCGCCGGCGGTGGTGTCGTCATGGAGCATTAGCTCGAGGGCGGCACCAACATCAATGGCCTATATAAAATAATAAGCGTCACGCTCCGGATTTTTTGTTTGGTGCTGAGCTTACGTGAACGGGCCAGTAGCGCTCTTGCATGTGGTTGGAGGTGAAGAGGTTGGTGGCACTGGCGAGCTTGTGAAGAAGATTGTCCTCAAAACCAAACATGGGAGCAGGCCGGACGATGGTGGTCTCGGGGTAGATTGAGCGAGCAACTTCCTCCCCCCATCCCTGTACGATCAATCAGCATTTCCGCGCAGCCACCGCTCGGAGGGGCACCGAGACAGACCTTTGTCGCAAAAAACTCGGAGGTCGAGTTCTTGTCAGCGTTGTAGGAGGAGACGTGGATAAATCTGTCAACATCGTACTTCGCGACAGCCTCGGCGATGCGCTCGGTTCCATCAACATGAACGTCGGTGTAGGAGAAGTTCCTGCAAAGAATTAGCGGTGCTTTCCCTTCCCGAACGCAATAAAACATGACGCGGCCACCGACTTTGTGGGGTATTGACGTCCAACAAGGTTGTAGACGACATCGGAGTGACGGACACTCTCCTCGATTGATTGGGTATTCCGCAGGTCGTATTCCTAAGCAATGCTCAAGTTAGCCCGGGGAAACAGTCGCAAAACAGGAAATTGGAGGCTCGAGTACCATGAAGATTACTCTTCCGAGATCACCAGTCGGCTTCAGGTGTCTCTTAGTCATTTCCTCACGGAAGGGAACAACAACCGTGCATCCCTGGGTGGCTAGCTGCGAATTAACGTCTGCTTCCACAATGCAAGCCACCCCGTTGACCTACCGAGCTTGTTGACAATGTAGCGACCGAGGAAGCCAGTAGCACCGAAGACAGTAGCGGTATGACCTAAAGCAAAGGTATTCATGTTAGGCGAGCTGCAAGCGACGCGAATAGCTGGCAATGACTGATATACCTCCAAGAGATGACCTATAACGAAGCTGCCTGTTAGCATCCCAACTACCGAACAATTCCGGCACAATTGCCCTCACCGTCCGCCCTGAACCTTCAGGATTGGTTTCCCAGTTCTAGTAATCGCGACATCCTGGAGATTCCGACGCTGCACTTGTAATTGAACCCGAGGGGCGGGGACGAATGCCCTCGACCCCAGGGCGGAATTGACGGCCCGGCACTTCTGCATGGTCTCTCTTCAGCTCACGGTTCGAATGAGACCACCGGGTTGTGTCCGGATCGATATTTCGTCGATTGTGAGAGAGATAGAGGTGAGAGCACAGCTCGGCAGGTAAGTGTCGGGCTTGATGCTGGACTGGTCGAAAGTCGTTCTCCGGAAAGCGAACTGCAGCACGGGACTTTCGCGCTAGTCCGAATTCGGACAGCAACCTCACTGGCAACTTCAATGACCAACTATCAATACTCTCAGACTGTAGGAACTCATCGCCGACCATTCGTCTCCATGAGGTGAATTGGATAACCTCGAGCGATATTCTCACTCAAAAGAATGGTTAATGCCGATCTATGCTGGGAGGCTGCCATCTTTGTGCCCTCAACACGAAACCCCATCTGACTATTCGGAAATTCTGATTGGACGATGGAGTTGACCAGCCATGAACTGATGGCGCCTATTCTAAGAAACTGCGAATCCTGTCTCTCATACTTCGCATGATCTCTTTCTACTTTTAACCATCCGAACTTGTCTCATTCTGCTCGGGGGTCCTTCTGACTGTTGGCTCCCACAAGGGAGATCAGTTCCCTGGACCTTGCAAACGCCCTCCCCATGTCATCGGTACAACAATCACCGTCTGTTAGATCTAAAAATGAACATAGCTTGGTGTCACTAATTGCGCTGAGCTCTAGCGATGAAAATAGTCTTCTTGATCTCCTTTCCCTCTTTGTTGAACACTACCGGCTCCTGGATGACCTGGTAGTCGAACTTCTGGCCCATCCCAGCGTCTTTGAACAACTTCTGCATGTGTTCCAAGGTGAAACCATGTATCCTAATTGTCGCGCTCGCCTCGGGGAATGCGTTGTGCAGGCCATGTGGGGAGTGTTTATCCTCCGGTACCATGTCGATAATAAGGAACATGCCGCCCTTCTTCAGCCGCTCACCAAGGCGTTTCAGCGCCAAGTCAGGCTTGTCAAAGTGATGCAGGGCCATGCTCACAACGACGAGATCGAAATCGTAGAACTCGGGCCCGGATAGATCGACGGGCACCGATTCAGCGAGGAGGTCGCCGTGATAGCCGACCATCTTATCCTCAAAGCCCGTTTCTTGTGCGTTGATGTTGAATTGCTTGATCATTTCTTCGGATACGTCCATGCCAACAATCTGGTCGACGAAGGGTGCTAGCGCCTTGTTTCCAGATTTATGAGCATCCTCCATCGTCTTGAAAGCCCCATGAGATACATACTGCGGAGATAGCACCAGGCCCGCAAGCATATTCGAGCATCCTGACTTTATGACCTTTTCCCAATTCGGTGTCACTCCAGATGTCACTGACCCAGGAGCGACGTCCTTGGACCTCGTTGAAGATCAATTCCTGGCCCTGTCGGAATTCGGCCCTGTAGGAACTAGCCATTTTACTGTGTGATTTTGTAAGAATGGTGCTCTGCATCCAGCGATGATCATGGACTGACCTGAAATATTGTCTGTTCAACTCAGTGAAGTCCGACATTGTGATGAGTCGAAAGGCTTCTGAGCGATATGTGAAGAGATCTGATGGAGAAGTAATGCAAGGAAAGAGAGTAAGAGCGCTATGATCGGTTCCAGTCAATTCAAGATAGCTACTATGGAGTAATGACGTGGTTATGTTGAGTTGGCAAGTCTACCTCTTGTAAATCTGTCAAATATATCCCAGCAGTTCGGGGAGATATCGGACACATTATTGCTAGAGGCATAGTGCTAGGTCCACTACCGGGGTCCTGGAACAGTTTAGTCGGACTGTAATACTATTATGTTACCATAAGCAGTAGTATCTTAATTATGACACACGTGAAGAAATAGATCTCAGAATCGGGCCAGGGTTCTGCTGGTAAGTATCTAGAGAACGTAGTAGACGATGGAGTATATTGTGTCAATGGTATAGAATCTCAGCATATTGCAGGATGTCATCCCGACTACTACGGCGGCGCAGAGACACCGCCCAAGCTCCTACGCAACTCCGCCATAAGACCTAAGCATCCTTGCTCTCACACTTCATAGAACAACTCTTCGATTCTTCTCCTCCGCCACTAATTAGCTCTTCATCTCGAATACTCGAGCCTCTTCTTCTTTCTTCCTACCGTCCATATCCTTGCATCCCGCGAAACCGGCATCTCTCTTCACTTCTCCACCATGGAGAACCAGAAGATCTCCGATTTCCTGGCCGACCAGCTGCAACAAGCTCCAGAGCAGAGCCAGGCCTTCTTCCTCAGCTTCGAAGACTTCTGGGAACGGAAACTATGGCATCAACTGACCAACGCGCTGGTCGAGTTCTTCCAGTTACCGGAAAGCGCTTCTCAGCGGTTACCGATATTCAAGACGTTTGTTTTGAGCTTCGCCGACAAGATTAATCAGCTGAAGTTCGTCTCATTGGGTTTGATGGCATCTACGGAATGCACAGGTTCGTTTGAGATCCATCTTCTAGTCTAGATAGAAAGGGAAAACTCGAGATAGCGGTTTACTGACAGTCAATGGGATGACAGATGACCAAGAGCGACTCTCCTTCCTTACATCACTTGCCGACAAAGTGAACAAACCCGACTCACAAGAAGCTTACGTGTATGCCCTTGCGGAAGTTGCGAATGTGAAACAGCGACTACAGGACTTGGATGGAGCGCAAAAAGATCTGCAAGTATGCCAGAAGGTTTTGGACTCGTTCGACTCCGTCGAGACGGTGGTGCACGCTTCCTTTTACAAGGTCAACGCAGATTACTACCACGTAAGTTGAATGGTCGATTCGTATTAATTCCTCTTTTCGCCAACTAATCGTGAACGTACGTCAAGGCCAAACAAGAATTCGCTGCCTATTACAAAAACGCCCTTCTTTACCTAGCCTGTATCAACCTGGAGGATCTCAGTGAGTCAGAGCGTGCCTCCCGCGCATACAGCCTGAGTGTCGCTGCCCTCGTCTCAGACACGATCTACAACTTCGGTGAACTCCTACTGCACCCGATCCTGGACTCGCTCACCGAGACGCCGCACAGCTGGCTGCGCGACCTCCTGTTTGCCTTCAACCGCGGCGACCTCACTGCGTACGATGTCCTGGCCGGCAACATCTCCAAGAACCAACTGCTTGAGCAGCATCGCATTTTCCTCTACCAGAAGATCTCCCTATCAGCCCTCACAGAAATGGTCTTCCGTCGACCCCCGCACGACCGCAACCTCACGTTCGCGTCGATATCCTCTGAGACGAAGGTTAAGCCTGAGGAGATCGAGCACCTGGTCATGAAGGCTTTGTCCTTGGGTCTGCTCAAGGGCGCTATTGATCAGGTTGCGCAGGTCGCTCAAATTCACTGGGTGCAGCCCAAGGTTCTGGATATGAAACAGATTGAAGGCATGCGCAATAGACTCAAGGATTGGGATGCGGGTGTGAATCAGCTCGGTCACTGGATTGAGGGAGTTGGCAAGGACGTGTGGGCTGCCTAGCAAGTGGGCCAAGTAACATGATAGGAATCCTTCTGAACCCCTTCTGAACCCATGTTTTTCGACGTTCGAGGGTCCTACAAGGGTACTACTATTTTGCATGTACGTACGAACCTTACTAGATCACTCTCAATAATCGGAAAGCTACGAGAGCGATTGAATTTTTCCAGTCAAGGATGAGCTTTACCTGAAAGTAAATTATAAACTACCAAAGGGCAGGATATACATATTGAATGATCCGACGGTGATGTATGAACACTAGCCTGAACGGCGAGCCAGACCCCTGAATTCAGGCCCAAACCCCGTCGGCCAAGTTTCAAAGAAGACACGATCCTATTAAGACACACCCAACCACCCAAGCAGGCCACCAGACACACCACACAACCACCTGTGTCCACATACCCCAGATATTCCATCCGAATGCTGCCTGAGTCAAAACCGTCTCGACTGACACGCCTGAGTACCAACATGCCCCAATGAGAACCGCAGGAGGAGAAAGGACATTCAGGGTTAGCAAACCAAGTATAGCGATTGGGTACCGCAGAGCAGCTTTCGTCTGGGTATTGATGTGCTTGACGAAACTAAGTGGTGCACAGAGTAGGCCAACCATGAAAGAAAGAGAGAAGTTCAATGTGGCAAGGGTAGAGAGGAACAGGCCGAGGAGAAGGAGGGAGAAGGATTTGGTCAGAAAATATTGCTGAGTTGTTGGAGGAGAAGTAAACCCATGGTTCAAGATGGCTGAGACGATGAGAGGGAGAATGACCCCAGCTCCGAGGCAAGTGTAGGTCGCCGTTGTATAGTACTGTTGTCGTTGTTAAAGATCTTGCGGCACCAAGTTAGTGCAGAAGTGGGGGACTGACCTTGTGATGAATGTTATTGAAGATGAAAAGAGGGACCAGGCCAAGCAGATGTAGCCCGATAACTAGGGTGAGCGGGAGCGCTAACTGTCGCTCCAGGACACTCCCAGGACTCGATAGCTCCTTGAGATTTGTGTCATTCAATTCGCCATTTTTCTCCGTATTCGTTGCTCGATCAACCGGACTCTTCTTATCCTGGGGACCTTCTTCTTTTGTGGTAGAGGTCGCTTGAGCATTCATATAGTAGCCCGTACGCATCCACAAAGCAATCGCCATGATGGTGAAATTTCCAGCGATCAGCATCGCACTTGGAAGGTAAGTACCTATACTGACGAAGCGATTGGTGTGCATCAGCAGATAGAAGAAGAAACTCTGGTGAAGGTGTTCGAGCAGGTTGTTGAGACTGCGACAGAGACTCTCCACGGTTCGACCCAGAGCCATCTCGTCTTGCCAACCATCTCCCTTTGTTTGCAAAGTGATCGCATCAATGTGGTATGGCATGAAACTACTATGTGCCCCAGTAGCGTGTCCGAAGCCCTGCTTGACCATACCCCTGAGAATTGTCTGCAGGCGCTTTTCGTAGCTATCATCATGCTCCCACATTTCCTGCAGGCTGGTCCCGATTCCCATCTGACCACCAGTTATCGAAATGGCCGTATTAAACAAATCCAGATTGGGCAGTTGACCGTTGACACCATCGTAGACGATATGTAAAGACTCGAATCGATGATCGAAGGGATATTCAATAACAAGTCCTCCCTGCAGGGCACCGCTCTTCAGCGGCAGAGGCTGGACCGAGGACGGTTGCATGTCATGATACGCATCGATCCACGCCTGCGTTCCCGATTTGCTGTCTGGTGGAAACAAGAAAATAATATCTTTGGACCACAAAGACCAACCTGGAGACGATCGTCATCAGCACGGCTCGAACGAACCCCCTTCTCCACAATGCATCGCGAGAAGATTCGACCCACGCTTAAAGTATCTTGCCAGCGTCAGCGCAAGGCTGACCCCATTCAAGTTCAATTCTCCGTCTGCAGTCTTCCAAGCAGCAACCAGCACAATCGCCTCCGTTGCATCGCCCCGTGGCGCGTGGATGATCGCGTAGACATTCTGTCCTTCATGCGTAATTCCCGAAGAAGTGTACTTATACTTCTGTGTCGCAACTTTCAACCCGGCCGCTCGTAAGATCGACTGTATCTGATCCGATATTCTAGTCGCATATCTGGGATCAGCAATGGGACCACCAGACCACGCCGTTAAGCAGTAGAAAGGAGTAGCAGCAACGCATCGACGTACACTGGTGTCAATTCATTATCCTTCCCCTTCTGATCTTCCTGATCGCCAGAATTCAGCAAACCTTCGAGTTCCCTCTTATACCCGCGAAATATGTTCTGTTCGCTGCCGGAGAAGTATGCATGAACCTGGCCAGGCAAAAGCGCATTCTCGGAGATGTAGGTTCGACGGGCGTATTCATCGAGGGGAAGGAGAAGCAGCCAGACGACTCCTGCGATTATGCAAAGAAGTGATAGTAGATACGGCAGGCGTACGAAGAGAAATTGAGGATTGCTCCGCAATTTGCGGATCACGGCTGTCACCCGGTCACTGTCAGCTTAGTTCTGATCTGAAGCTGCCTCTGATGATATTCTGGGGTAGAGGCCAGGGGGATGCATCGCGCGCATTGAGATACATTTTTGCCGATAGACCAAGACTCTGTAAGTAAAGTTGAAGCTTTCTACTTACATTTCAATGCCATGGAATTGGAGACATTCGGAAGTATCTTCCCATGCCAAGTGTTGTTGTTGTAATTTGTAAAGCGAGGACCTGTGAATTTCCCGATCCCGTTAGTTTTGCTCCTGCCGGCCTAGTTTCCCGATACGTCGTTTTTGTAATCACTGCCCGGCTGCCCGTCAAGTATATATAAGAGGCCCATCCCCTCGTTATTCTAACCTTCAGTCCTTCAACTTCTTCGTTTTTCCTCAATTGCTCTCACTCAGTCGCACCCGTCGGTTCATTCTTCCATATGCCGTCCCCGCTCCTTTTCCCCCCATCAGAAATTACTGCCTGAGGACAGAGATGCGCTCGCTCTAGTCCATCTTGAAATCCAGAAACGCAGCACTTCTTATCTCTTGCGTTGACAGCGACTTCGTTTCTCATTCAGTTTATATATAGCGGTCAATTACGTGCCTTGGTATGGAGGATGAGTAATCATATTGAATTCAGCTATCTCTCGATTTTTGGGGAGGAATCCCCGAACAAGCCTAGCAAAGTGTGCAACTACGTTAAATTCCCTTCTTCATAACAGGAAGATCCATCAATAAGCAAAAAACACCTCCCCGAATCCCGACCATTAGCGGCGAAAGACTGCCCGAACCTTATGCCCAAGACTCGTCATTTTGTTCAGCAATATATCGCGGCGACGGATCACTTCCTCATCCCTCATGATTTGGCTACCATGTAACTCCGAGATAGCTTCTGCTTGTGTGCATTTATAACTCTGCGATTTCGACTTTTTGCCGAATTTCATCGTAGTCTAGCCCAGACGTGGCCAAGCAAGCAGAGAGAAACTTGACTGGCTTGGGCCAAAAATGACCCTTGACTGGTCTGTCCACTATCATTTTCTCAACCAGCAACCGCCAGGCGAGTGAATCAAGCTTATCCTCCTCTTCCGAACATTTCCAATGCTCACGATTAAATGAATACGCGTTGAAGGCTTCATTGGCGACACCCATGATCGTGGCAACTTCATCGGCTTGGGCAAGCGCATCGAGTCGGTATCTCAGCGTTTCGAAAATATCGTCAAGCTCCTCGTCGCTGAATTTCTCCTTGCCATTGAGCAAGCGCATCAGTTTGCCATGGAGTGCAATATTTGGCGCCTCATTATCCTGACCAGGGTTCGCACTGTGAAAATAGTATCGGGCGGCATATTTCACTTTGCTGCGTTTTCTGACCATCCCGAGAAGACTAGTGCCCGTACCATGCCTGTCTGAACCTTTAGAACCATAATTCCCTGTTGGCACGGAGCGCAGTGACTCCCAGCGTGACTTCAATTATGACAGCGGTATACCACTGCGACGTTTGAAGTGAAGCGCCCACTGATCGTCTTGAGCAGAGAAATGGATTTTGTGTTTGTCAGCGAAATGATCGAGCCTCTTATACGAATCGTATATAGAGCGCGCAAATGAGATATAGGTGGGGTCTTGGTCAATTTCAGCTGTCTCCTGTAACCCCTCAATCGCGATACTGGTTTGTAAAATTGCACTCACAATCATACTTCCGCACGCTCGACCGAGGCTGGAGCTCACTGGCCAAGATTTGCTCACTGCGTCTGGTCCTGCTCCAGTGATTCCGGTGCATTGATATACTTGTATGTCATCGCGTTCGGCTGTACAATCCAGCCCCCAGAGTAACACGAAGTCATGAACAGTATGACAGGTGTGCCAGGCTGCAGAGCGCGCTTGACGTCTTCGATTTTGAGGTTTGGTTCGTCTCCGCCGAGAGCCACGCCAAATGTTCGCTCATCCCCATGACCAAAAATCAAGACGACCAAGTGCTGATTTTCATTCTTGGCCAGGAGCGATTGTTCGCGAAGGGTGGACAAGAAACGTTCTAGAAGATCGTTCCGTGAGACAACGCATAAGCTCCTACTTTGTTCGATCCCTGGCAGCATGTTCTCGTCTAGTACAACTCTTCGCTCTCCTTCTGGATCTCCATGCGCGTATTCTCTGTACTTCCGCACAAGGTCTTCAGGCTTTTCACTAGTCATCCAGATCTGAGATGGGGTTGGCCCATGGAGATGAGAAAAGAGGTAATGAAACAGATAAAAGTCCGAGAAGAACCAACCGTCCTCCATTGGACTAGCTTGGTCTATATCATCGGTGATGCCACAAACTGCGATGAGGCGGGTTCTTGGGCCAACATCGGGTGGGCAGGCTGTCGCGAATGAGAGACCCTTCAAGTCTTCTGTAGTTCCAGTGGTACGCCCAACGGTATACAAGCCTGGAATAGACTCTGGGGTAATGGTAGACATGATGAGATAATCTGTAGCTGTCGTCAGAATGAGATATTTCTCTATCCAGAAGTAGTGATTCTGTAACCAAGTCACCTTTCGAGGTTCTGAAGCTCGTCAGAGCGGGACAGTGAGGGAATATTCATGTCCAAATCTCGTGGCTGCCTATGGATTAGCATGGAGAATGACTCATCTGTCCCTGGATTTTACAAGGTACTAACCTGAGTGATGGAGGAGGTCTTCTCGTGGCACAAGTCTAACCACAGTCGGTGTTCCACTGGTTTACTCGTACCGAGAAACAGATAGGTTGTATGCCTGCCTAGATACTCATAGTACATGTATCGTAGCTAGCAGAAGATGGCACAAACTTTTGGGATGGAGAGGGGTATTAAAAGAAGGAGAGAGATATTAGAAAAAAAAAAGTGAGAGGCAGGTGGTTGCGTAGCAGGTGACAACGCCTGGTGACTTTTAGTACATTATAGATATCATCCCCAGGTTACAGTGATATTATAATAACAACATCAACAACATCAACAACATCAACATCAACATCACCACCACCATCATGTACGTTCTCTCTAGTGGCACATTCATATCACGGAATTGGTTTTGAAGAGTCTCAAGCAATATGTGCGCTTTTAGCATAAGCAAGTCTGAAAGGGGGTTGCCCTATTGTCCAGTAAGCCATCCTCTTTAATTGACTGTCATGTATCTATCCTTATCAATTTTCATGTAATCACTCGTCTGCTATGTACATTCAGTGTAAGAAGTTAAGCTAACCATATTATTACTATCAGTACCTAATGACTTCGTGCTAATCTCAGAAAACCCACCCTAGTTGCTTGAAGAAATATCAGCACCTGATACTATAAATCAATATCAAGAAAGAGACACTATTGGCATATTGACTTTATAGCCATCGAGCCCCAGATACTTGTAATAAGATAATCATTTAGAAGGAGACTGCTTGATCCTACTTGATTGTTTTTCTTGGGACTTTCAATTACAGATATTGCATTAAAGTCATTTACCTAGTTAGACTGCTTTAGATATCTCTTACTACTTTTTAATAGCAGCTCTAGATATTTCTTAATTCTTCGATGTGCACATACAGTTAAAGGTGAATGCTCTGTACTTTCGTCCAGAATATAGTCTTCCCTGAGTCTCAATTCAGGGAGAACTATTTGCAATAGTGTGAATGCAGATACAGCTTCAGCTACTTTTGGACTCTCCTCTGCATTCAATGGCGGTTAATACTTTATGGTCATTTTGAGGACGGGCGGCTAAACCATGCTTAGTAGGCAAAAGTTACAGGTGGAAATGCCGCCATAAATGGCGTCAGTAGCAGTCATTTTCAGCGTCAATTTCACAGGTCCTCATATTCTAGGTGTAAAAGGGCTTGACCACCTACACAACTCGCTCTAGTAGGCCACAAGTAATGAAAATGAATTAATAAATTTGACTGACACTCTTAACGCCTAGTTAATAAACAAGTATTGCATTGATCAATATGCACACAAATTTGAAATTGCTTCCTGCTGAGGGGGGGGGGTAGCTTCAAGGACCGAGGCGCTGATTCGTGCCCAGATAGCTCAGAGGAGTGGGCCTCTCACCCCCTACGGCCGCCGTCGTTGTAGGAAGGACACCATATCGACCATAGGTTTTCTGATCTACTGACACATAATGTGGCAGTCGTCCCAGTAGGTTCAGCTTTCCCTCAATCCATCTCAGGATTTTCTCTGGTGGAACAAACACCTTGAGATATCCGAGGCCGACTAGAGGATGAAACATTAGTCCCCAAGCAAGAGCGCATAATGATAGAGAATACTCACGCAGATAGCCTATCAGAATAGCGCTCAAGTGGCCCAAGAAGCTTGTGTTCGGCACGAATATCGATACGAGAGCACATGCGAACAGTGGTGACGTCCACGTCGGAATCTTCGTTGTCCCGAGACTATGAACAATTAGATCATTTGAAAACTTCAATGTAGTTCGTTCCAAGTCGGAGTACCTGAAGTATGGGTTTGACTTATAGGTCTTAATAGCTTCGGAGCCCAGCAGTAGGAAAACCCAGACGCTAAGGATAGGTTAGAAATACATCACTTCAGAAATGGAGTTCTTCAAATCCCACCTTGCCCCAACTACAGCAGTGTTGCTGTGCAGGATGAATTTCTCAATCAGGATGTATATACCGGCAGGGAAGGTTGAGAGAGCTGCATATAGATAGACGGATTAGCCCACTGCAAGCCGTGGTCTCCTCAATAGGGCCTTTCTGTGATTCTCGGATGCACGCGGGGATGACATACGCCCAAGAAATAAAGCAACTGCAGTCAATGTACCATGCTCAGCTTCGAATCGCTCCAGCAACGGTGTGACAGCTACCAGGTTCAGGAAAGCGTGAAAAAACCCGACGTGAATAAATGGATAGGTGTTCAGTCGATACACTATTTTCTTGCGTCAGAACAGTTCGCATCCAAAGACGTAACAATCGACTGCAGATTGGCCCGCATGGCCAAGATGGACATACTGCTACCGATTCCGATCTCACTCGGCGTCAATGATCCCCATTGTACCACGCCCCATATAGTTTGTAGCTCGAGCAACCAAAATGCAATGATGACCAACAGTACAAGGCGTGTGAAAAGCGGTAATCGGAGCACATACGATCTCACCCTGGTAGGGTTGAATGGCAATGGCGGCAAGGCGGCTGGGGTTGCCATGTTGCTCGGTGCGGAAATGGCACGAAATTCCGTCAATTCACAGAATGTACGATAAATTGAGTATGCCAAAGGCGATGGTCAAGGCAGGAAAGGCGGATAAGTGTTATGTTTGGCTTGTGCTGAACTCTGCAGTGCTGTATTGAGATCGAAGGACAAGGGTTGACGTCGGTACAACAGAGTAAACAACCGGACAAGGGGTTCGAGAGAATCGAGGTCGTGATTCGTCAATCAGTCAAGGACAATGCGCTGTATATCGTAAACCAGAATTGCCGGTGCCAAAGTGGCAGTCTCTAGGATGGATGCAGACAATGCAGAAGCCAGAAAACATGCGATGCGGACCACAGAACTCGAAAATTCGATGTGTTTTATGCATAGACAGCCCAAACAAAAACAAGATCTGCAAGACTAAACCGTGAGCTCAAACAAATACTAGGAGGTACAGCTGCAGCACAGAAGATGGGACTGAAAACAATCAATGCTCAAGGCTCTTTGAGGCTGCTTTGTCCAAGTGGGCCTTTCCGGTAACGCGGATCCCCCGGGTCACGTGAGCGATAAGCGTTATCGGTCCAGGTATCTCACGGGCCCACGGCGAATGCATAAATACGAGGGTTGCTCCTTAAAATTTGCAATCTCATTTCTTCTAGCTCATTAAACTTGATGGATTATACATGAGATTATGTCTGACTCGTAACATCAGTTCACAGGTACTGCTTGAACCACGCAACAGCCTGGTAGAAGGCCTGCTCCTTGCAGAACTTGAAGTGCTTGTTGCTCAAGTCAGCACGGACAGCAAAGCCATGTGTGACGCCGCTGAACAGATTGATTTGCCAGGGCTGGCTTGTCTTGATCAGAATATCCTCGGACTCGTGACGGAGCTGAGTGGTGAAGATGTTGTCAATTTCTAACAAACGCTCAACGTTAGTTATGATCTTGATAAGAATGTCAACATCCTCGCAGACCAACTTACCTGAGGCGGCGATGGAAAGAGGACCAGCGATGGCACCGAGCTCCTCCTTGGTGACAAAGGAGGGGTGAGCGGTGTAACCGACGTCGATCTTACCGGGCTTCAAGAAGCGGCAGACATACTGATCGAAGGTACCTTGTCAGAAACGAGTTGCGCCAACAAATGTACCGTGCGGTTTTCGAAGCATTTAGCTCACCTTGCCACCGAAGCAGTAACCGACTCCAGCGATTTTCTTGACCCCCAAGTCCTGTCTAAGGTACTTGATTGTGGACTCAACAACAGGGTCGACGTTGGCGATCTGGTGCTTAGGGAGCCAGGCGGGAAGATCAGCCTTGCCGGATTCCATGTCACTGAGCTTGATAGCGTCCTTCTGGAAGAGATCGGGAATAACGGCGAGGTATCCATTGGCGGCGAATTCGTCGGCAAGCAGCTGGGCGTTGACATAGATACCGAAAATGTCGCTCAAGATGAGGACGGCGTTCTCGGGGCTCTTATTGTCCTTGGGGTATGAGATGTAGGTTTCAACTTTGGAGACTCAGCATTAAGACCAATTTTATCAAGAAAGGAATAGCAAGGCTACTTACCACCCTCGACAGTCTTGATCTCTCCGGCGGGGTTGCCTTCGTGCTGGAAGCCAGAGGCACAGCAAGCTCCAGGGGGGTTGGATGCCATCTTTACAGGGCTATGGGAGTATAGAAAGCTGAGTGTGAAGAGCGTAGGTTTGAGAAAGATCGTGTGAAATATGGAAACAGATAGCTGATAATAATGCGGGACAATCGCCCCTCTTAAATGCCCGAAGAGGCGTCAGGGACATCCATGCAAATCGATTTCGACGCAAAAGCCCTCCCCACTCTTGCCCCTCATGGACGATTACTAATGGTTTACTCTTCCAGAACTGAGGCTCCACGTAAGACAAGACCGCAAGAAAAAGGCCATCCTGTGTTACAGCTTTGACAGAAGTGTCTTGACCATTGATCCAATCTAGAATCTTGTGTGAACAGCTGGAGAAATTAAGCGGGAGTTGTCACAACCCTCTGCAACGTCTGGTCAGACATTATTGTTGACCTCCACCAAGCCACCGAGTTAATTGAGGCATCGGGAAATCGGGATTCGGGAATATGGCTAAGCTTTTTCTGCCGGTCGGGGTTAAACATATAAAATCGGTTTTAAGTCCGATAGAGCTAATTAGTCCAAGTCTCAAATGAGGAGCAGCAGCAAAATGTGCCTTGCTGAGGACGATTGGCAATTGCTAGACTTCCATGTGATATTGCACCCACGGGAAGAGACATCTGCTAGGCTGAAGTTCTCCATTCAGGTTCAGGAGGTGGCACTTGGAC